AAATATAGAAAGGACAGTGGCAAGCTATTATCAATAAGTTTCTAATAATGCTGTAACCAAGTTTGGACACATCTATAAAACCAAAATATATCTAGAAATGTTTCTTTGATTGTTCTATTGCTGCATTAGAAAGTTATTAAGCAGACACCGCCCAAAAGCTATTAACTCGAAAACAACTTTTGTTTTTATTTTAAAAACATGCAAATTTCTCTAATTTATAGGTATGAAGGAACTTTACTGCTTTTGATATATGGATTATATGTTTTGGTGCTGTGTTTTGACATTAAAATTAACCAATATATTATAAAGAAATGCAGTCCTTGCTGCACCTGTCTTGCCAAAGCTATGGAGGAGAGAAGTGAACAACAGCCACTGATGGGATGGGAAGATGAGGGTCAACCATTCATCCGTCGGCAATCAAGAACTGATAGTGGAATATTTCACGAAGATTCTGGCTACTCTCAGCTTTCTATAAGTTTACATGGTCTTAGTGAGGTTTCTGAAGGTAAGAACCACATCCTGCCCACTATTAAGTCTATGCACTAGAAAAACTTAAGAATCTCATTTCAACGCAGCAAATACTATATACTTATTATATAAATGACACTGGAGATTCAGAGATGATGAAGAGGCAGTTCCCATCCTTAAGAATCTTTCAATACTGTAGGAAAAAACAAAATAGCTAAAATATGAAGGCTTAAGTGCTATAAAGAGAAAGAAATAAAGTGTAACTGGTTCCTAAATAGGACAGATTGTATAAAACTTGATGAGGATGGTTAGACAGGAAAGATTATCACAGAGAAGGGAGCATTTAAACTGAGCCTTGCAGAATAGGTCAAATTTTAACTGATGATGTGATTTATGACTGATCAATAAGTAACAGCTACTGAAGTCTTTATTATGTAAATCATGCAGAGATAAGAGTAAAGTATATTCTATGGAGTGATGCCAAGGAAGTAATATGAGCAAAAGGCCTGCTGAAGTACTAGCATAACTGGAGCACAGAATATGCATAGTAAGGGAGCAGAGGAAAGGTGGATAGAAAGGATTAGGATATGAAGAGTCCTAAATGCCAGTGTAAGAGTCTTTGCAGGTTTGTAAGCAGAGAAATTATTAGAACTGAAATACAGGATAGAAGACATGGAGGTCTGTAAGAGGCTACTAAAATAGCTGATGTGTTTGGTAAATGCCTAGACAGAGTGAAGGCAGTGGGAACAATAGAGAACAGAGGTGAGACAATGCACAGGAAGCATCACCAAGACTAGGTAACTGAAGAACTGGATGGGGCCAGAAAAGGGAGCAGCGACAATTCTAAGGCTTTGATCATGACTGAGAAAATGGGAATACCACTTATAAAACCCAGGAATTTAGGTAAAAGGGCTGGTGTGGGGAAAAAGAAGGAAACAGTTGAGTTTTAAATATTTGTCATTTGAAGCAGTAGCAAAACATATAGTTAATATGTTTACTAGGAAGTAAAATTCAGCTGTGGCCAGAAATATAAATTTACGGGTTATTTTTGTATAAAGTGGTTGTATGAAACAGATTCTAAATTTAATTAAGTACATTAGGAGGGAACTTATTCTAATTTACTACCTAAAAAAAATTAAAACATGACTTTTCCCCTTCTTACAAAAATTAGTTTCTAGTCTTTCAGGTACAAAACATGTATCTCTAAGTTAAATTTTATACAAGAAACTCAAAAGAACCAGTCTAAATTTTTTATTACACTAAAATTATATCTAATATTACTTAATGGCCCATTGGCTGAGGCTTGGCACATTTTTTGTATGAGTTATTTTACTAGCATTAGTTATAATGTGACTTGATCCAATATAGGGGTACATTATTTTGTAAATGCCATATAAACTTCAAACAATTTTAAAGTGAATTCCCATTTTTATCCAATATATTATTATTGTCTTGCACTAACTTAATAAAACAAATTGAATAAAAAACAGACTCAAGTTTTAAAAGTTACACTATAGATTCTATACTAGTTCCTATTTTCTTAAAGGTTCTTTCTAAGAATTGTGAATTCTGAATTTAGTAAATTAATGAACGAAAATAATGAAACAAGCCCCCCAAAATTACTTACAATGAGAATTAGAATGAAATATTCAACTTAATAAAAAGGTTATGCCATAATTATTTTACACTCCCTAAGTATGCATTATCTGATACATAGGGCAGGCTAGAGGCATCATCAACACTGGCAAGTGGAGAGAACTGGAGAAGATAAGGTACAAGCCAGGTTAATCCCATAAGCAGAAAAAGTTACTAAAGACCATCCACGTTGTAGAAAACCAAGAGATGTCCAACTGATACTTCATAAACATTATTTCTAACATATCTAGCAAATGACCCAAGATATTTTGATGGATTTAAGGCCCCAAATCAAGAAATGCTGAGTATCACATTTTACAGTCTGCCCTAAATTCTCAATTACTTTTTTTTTGCCAGCAATATCAGTAACGAGGTATTCAAATGTTTTAAATAGCCTCTTAAAAACTGACACAGCTAATTCATTTCAATATAGCTTCTAAAGGGACATTTCCAACTTAATCAGCCATTTGAGAAAACTCAAAATCATTTAATTTTTCCTCAACAGATCCACCAAGTGTTTTCAATATGCCTGAAGCAGACTTAAAAAGAATTTTTTGGGTACTAACCCTTCCTATTATTACATTACTTTTTCTAACCACACCAGATTGTAGAAGAAAGTTTTGGAAAAATTATTTTGTGATAACTTTTTTCATGTCGGCACTATGGATATCTGCATTTACATATATCCTGGTTTGGATGGTCACAATAACTGGTATGTATCTTAAGTACAAGAGCACAATTTAAAAAGAAAATAATCAGTTGCATATAAGAACTCCATATAGTCACTAAAAGTAGTCTAGCTAAGGAGCAAATTTCTTTTTCAGCAAAGACTAAAGATTAGCACTATTTACAAAAAGATTAAATATGAATATACCAACAAGATCATTCAGTTTTGTGAGTTGCATATTATATATCAACTATATTCTCACTATTATACAGCCCAGGGGTACTAGTCAAGGGATCATCTTATAAATGAAATCAAACTCACGGGATATCTTTCTATTATGCTAATAATTAAATCATACTGCATGGGGTCCACAACATACTCTTATACTGAATTCCATTTCATAATGAAAAATATAGCAAGGTGCCAGTGTTTTGGAAAAATGATGACTGCTCACTGTTTAACCAGATTACATTTTATTTTGCTTTCTAATATGGCAATATAAATGTACTATGAAATGAGTGAAAAGGGTATAAAATAAAGTTTCATTTTAGGTTTCTACTACCTTCATGATTAAGATTTAACTATTACTACTTGGCCATAATCAGCTCTAGTCCCACAGAATTCCTGGTCCTGAAGGAAAAACTGAATATAAACATAGAACCAAAAAATCAGGAATTTCTTCCAAAAAGGTTAACTTGAATGGACTTATACCAGAGGGGAGCAAACTATCACCTGTGTGCCCAAATCAATCAGTCTCTTGTTTTTGCTAGTGAAGTTTTACTCAATACGATCACAGCCATTCGTTTACATATTATCTATGGATGCTATCACACTACATTGGCAGAGCTGAATAATTGCAACAGGGACCATATAGCCTGCAAAGCCTAAAATAATTACTATCTGGTCCTTCACAAAAAAAGTTTGCTTATCTCTGACTTTTCCCAAATTAATAAGTGACTTAGAATAGTATGCTTGCAAAAACTAAAATATTTCTTTTTTTTTTTTTTAATGAAGAAGAAGGAAAAGTCCAATTAGCTTGTATATTAAATCTCTCCAGATTTTCTCAGCCAGATTATATTTGACATTAGGAAAGCAGGAAAAGAGCAAAATCAAGTAATAGATCATAGAACAGCCCCCAAGATGATAAATATTAGTGTTATTTATGTACATATGAACTCTAGCAAACCAGGAACAAAAATTAAAAGCCAATTACAATTTCAATATCAATATATAAGCATGCAATAAATATGCTAAAGTTCTTTTAATTGACGTTTTAAGAAAAAAATAAGAAAAGAGATTCTAAAGCAAGTTTTCAATTACAACATTAAAAGAGCAATTACATGTACTTTTTTTTTTTAACTTCCTTCTGATTCTGTTTCCCAGAATGAATACATTTCTGAAAAATGATGAACGGACATGAAATTTAACAGAAACATTAATAAATTGGGACCATAGTGTCAGAAAGACTCAAGTAGAACCCTATTTTGTTTTCCTCAGATTTATGGTACTTTCCCAAAGAAAACACTAAATTAAGGTATATCACTAAAGCAAGACTTAAAAAATGTATATACTATGTTAACACATTTACAGTTTAAAAATCGCTACAAACAATTTGCTTAACTCTGACCACTTCAAGAAAATGTTTTTAAAGAGAAAATGACCAATCTCATTAGCATATATTAAGCAACAGCCTTGATGAGATAACACTGGACATCCAAAACTTCTATAAGCCATACCAGGTAGGGGATTACTCCTTGGTAGAATTTTGTCTATTAAATATCTTTAGATATCTGTCATTAAAAATCTGTATTACCCGTGTTACCCAATTTACCAATCTTATTCAAATACTTTGCTAGCTAAAATCTAAGTAAGTACATATTGGTTCTGAAATCTAAACGTGCCTATTTTCTTTTTGTTCAGGAAGAAAATATCTGCAGAGAATGGTTAGTGAATCTATAATATTTGTAACTTGTAATATCTATGTTTATTACAGGGGAAACATTAGACATTCCAGATACAGTAATGGGACTTACTTTATTAGCAGCAGGAACAAGCATACCAGACACGATTACAAGTGTGTTGGTTGCAAGAAAAGGTAAGAACTAGGTCCCTCAGGAAGCTGCAATGCCCATTCTTCAAGCCTGGCTGAAACACTGAACAAAGGTATCTTTAAAAATATTCATCTCCTCAGTAATGTACTTAGAACAAAAATAAAGAGTGACTCAAGAGGAAGGATTTACTATTTAATAGCAAATTAATTTCACTAAATCTAATCCCCCAAGTAATATTCATGTGAAATGTGCATTAAATTGTAATTAACCACATTAAATTAGAATGAAAAGCAACAAGTAATCTACATACCTTACTGAAAAATGGTTTAATAAATAAAGATAATTATTATTAGATAAATAAACGTTAATACTTTAAATACTAACCCCCACAAAATTAAAAAATACAAATTAAGTAAGACTTTTGCTCTAATACAACAATTTTCCAAAACCAACAAACAAAGTATCCAGTGTTCTTTTCATGAAGCTTATTAATAAAATACAGTATTGGTATGCACATTTTAACAACATGCTTTTTTTTTTGCAGGCAAAGGAGATATGGCTATGTCTAACATCGTGGGATCCAATGTGTTTGATATGCTGTGCCTAGGTGTTCCATGGTTTATTAAAACTGCATTTATAAATGCATCAGCTCCTATAGAAGTGAACAGCAGAGGACTAACTTATATAACCATCTCTCTCAACATTTCAATTATTTTTCTTCTCTTAGCAGTTCACTTTAATGGCTGGAAACTAGACAGAAAGTTGGGAGTAGTCTGCCTATTATTATACTTGGGGCTTGCTACATTATCAGTTCTATATGAACTTGGGATTATTGGAAATAACAAAATAAGGGGCTGTGGAGGTTAATATTAATAGTGTTATGTGGAAAATGCAAATGATGGGGAGGGGCAGAGAAGGAAAACTCCATTTCTTCATTTAAGTCAAATAAAAACTATCCTGAACTCTAGAATCTAAAGCTTACTTACAGTAATTCTTTACCACGAAAGAAAGGAATTTAAAACCAACCAAAATCACATCCTAATTTGTCTGAGCCCTTTCTTTTCAAGGACAATTACATATATAAAACAGAAGTTTTGAAAAAATCACCTGTGTTTTACCTTACAATAAGTTGATAAAAGCTGGGGAAACTTGAACAAACAAATCCCACTAAGTAGTACTGAAAATAATAACAAGAAAATGGCTTATTTCATTAAAAACAGTATAACCATTCATTTAAACTGAATGACCAGACTTGCTGTCTTTAAAAACCCAAACTTGAGATTAACAAAAATCACAGTATATTTAACACTATACTGTTAAAAGCTGGTGGGAGTTTTAAAAGTTCATTTTTACAGCTTTTGTAAGCATAACAGTATTACTTAAAAAATGATTTTTACTAGGAGATTCAGCAAAACAGATGTAAGAATGTTCCAACCATGGTCTGAAATTATGCATTACGATCCAATCGAACATCTATTTCTCTGCCACTGATTTTTATGCCATTCATTATTCTGCAGGCTTTTTCAGCTGATTCTGGGGAGTCAAATCTGACTGTTCCACAGCCTTTTGACTTTCCATTCTCCATTTTTATTTCTGCAAACATTACATGACCTGTAAAACAAAAATAATAGAATTACTAGTCACTTTAAATAGGTTCCATTTCACACAAATAGGTGTGAAATTCCTCACAGCCAACGAAGTAATAAGTAACTTAGCTAAAAATGTTAACATTAATGATTTAAAAATAACACATCATATAAGCATTATTCTCATCATTTTATATTCTGAATATAATACAATTCATTTTTAAAGTAACGAATACAGGCATGTTAGACTATACAAAATTAGAAACAAGATAAATTTGCTTAGGATTTAATATTTTACTAAAATAAAAAATTTTATTTTTCACGTTAAATTCTTAGTTTCTGAAGTAAATTTTATAGCAATAAGGCAAGCTAGCACAAAATGCCACCAAGTCACCATGCCCAATAACAAACTTACAAATTTAAACAAGATTATTTTTAGGAAAACTTGTTACTTTCTGCCCAATCTCCCTAATCTCTTTTCCTTCCCTTTTATCCTCCATTTCACTCATTCATCCCTGCAAACAGTAGCAACTGCCTAGAAATTTAATTGTTACCAGGCCACAGAGGGCCCCACTCATTCTGCTTTTCAACCACAGTGCCAAAGTTACTTATTCAATATCAGAATTTGAACTCCAAGTGTAAGAGTGGCATCAGACATGTTATAGAAACAGGCATGGAAGACACATCGCAAATTTAAAATCAACATAGGGAAAAATGGTGATGGTAACAGCACCAAGAACATCAGAGAAGCTTCCAGGAGGAGGAGGAAAATCAGACAATTGCTCTGTATACAGTTAATATCATTGCTGACTGTAGAGACTGGTAGTTGAAATAAATCAATATCATTTATCAAAATACAAAGTGGCCATAAAAATCCATTATGCAAACCAGAACACTTTGGAGAGTAAAAGGGAAAGTTATTAATAATTACACACAAGTAACAGATGTAAGTCAGACTTTACAGACAACTGGGATACATGATCATCCATTCCACAGATTTAGTGTGAGATGTGTGACTACTTACCATAATATTTCCCTCCCCTTGAATATTATAGTTGCCAAATCACTATATGCTAATTTTAGCAGGGCAACAAAATCATAGAGGCACACATATTTAGTTCTACAAAGGGAGAAAAAAGGAAGAAGGGGAAGGTATAAGCAGAGGGCTTATCAAAAAATTGCCTAAGCCCTTTCCAGGTGATGGGATCAATTTTTAATCTCGATGCATGATTAAGATATTTTTTCCTGGTTAAATCTTGATCTGAATGATTTCTTACCTACAACCTCCTACACAACTTTGCTACTTTTGTTTTTTCATCCATCTCCTGCCCCCGCTATTACTGCATTTTTCTAAAACCAAGTGGCAGTATATTACTCACCCACTCAATGCTAATTAAATGGTCCAAGTTAATAAACATAATGCTGAGCCAAAACCATGATCTTGTAACCCAGGCCAAGCAGTCTTTTTTTTTTTGTGAGGAAGATCAGCCCTGAGCTAACATCCATGCCAATCCTCCTCTTTTGCTGAGGAAGATTGGCCCTTTGCTAACATCCATTACCAATCCTCCTCCTTTTTTTTCCCTTTTTCTCCCTGAAGCTCCAGCAGATAGTTGTATATCATAGTTGCACATCCTTCTAGTTGCCATCTGTGGGACGCTGCCTCAGCATGGCCTGACAAGCAGTGTATCGGTGCACACCCGGGATGGGAACCCGGGCCACCAGTGGTGGAGCACACGCACTTAACAGCTAAGCCACGGGGCCAGCCCCTAGGCCAAGCAGTCTTTAACTGTGTTCTAGAAGTTATGAAACAGACTAATCCCCAGAGAAATTATATTTTATTTATTTATTTAAATTTTTTATTTTATTGTGGTCACATTGGTTTATAACATTGTATAAATTTTGGGTGCACATCATTATACTTCTATTTCTGCATGTTCACCATCCTAATACCAATTACAATCCATCACCACACACATTTGCCTAATAATCCCTTTCACCCTCCTCTCTCCCCCCGAGAAATTATATTTTAATGGTTAAAGTAGATCCAAACAATATGCAACCTACAACTGTTAAGAAGAAAAAACAACAAAAAACAAAAGTACAAACATTCACAAAAATCACATTTTCTAATAAACATCATAAAACGAAACTGGAGACTGCATTTAAAAAAAAAAAAACAGACACTTTAAAGATAGATGTAGAGCAATTTCCAGAGTCCTCTTAATATCTTGAATGCTGGGATCTGAACAAAAGCAAGTTTAACTAAAGAAGTATAACTTGGTAAATGGCAGCACTTTACAGTGATTTTAAAAAGGACTGTGGAGAATTTTCAAGAGCTTTTAAGGTTAAAGGTTCTTCCTTATTCTAATTTTACCTAAAAACTTAGGGTTTTTCTTAACATAAGTATCCCACCATAGGTTTATTAGCAATAGTAAGGTTTGCTCAAGCAAGAAATCTTCAAACCTTCAAAGGAAAATTTGTAATTATCTCTTGCAAAATCTGTCTCTCAATGTTTCAGGACAAGTTTCTCTTTCTTTTTTTTCCTCTTAAATTGTCTCTCTCAGCTTAGGAATCATCACTCAGACCACCAAATTCCTGACATCACAATGATCTCAAGGCTTCTCTAGCTGACAAGTCTCTCAGCTAAGATACTTGAACCTTCTTACCGTTTGGACACTCAGGCTATATAGAAAGTGGTCCACAGATACTTGTTTCATGGTTAGACTGCCCCCCAAAAATCCTAGTAGGCATAAAACCAGAAAGAGTTGTATGTTTTCTAAGTTTCTTCTTAACCCCATACAAACACCAATTGAGGTATTTTCTTTTCTAAAGATAAATACTTGAAGAATAAAATTTAGTTTCAAATAATTGATTAAAATCAGACCTCCCTGGCTTTTTACACACACTGAGAACTTTCTTAAGTGACTTAAATATCTACTGACCTTGTATGATTCCAAGAAAAACAAAAATAGGACTGCTATTTTAGCAATAATATGGACAAAACAGTATGCAATGACAAATCAGCACCAGAGAATAACCAACATATTGCTGTTACATACACTAGTTATAAAAATGTCTTATCCTACAGTAAAAGAAAGCTTTCCACTTTATTTGACCCAGCTATTAACATCTTGTGGGGCATACTTTGGGAAATACTGATATAAAAGCATATCTAAAAATAGACCAAATTAAAGGATAAATAATAAATAGTTCAATAAAATCTACTTCCAAAGTAAAGCTGTAATATAACCATAGGAGAAAAAATCAAAATCAGGTATTTTGCAAGAAATCATAATTATGATCTAAGGAACAAAAAACAAAGTTTTAGTGTTTCTTTACAAAGAAAGTGAATCTATGAATGAATGTTCCTCATATATTATTTTTACTGCTATATTATTTTACTGTTAAGTTATTCTAGAGTTAAAGTCCACTAGTCATGTTCAGAGCAGCATGTGCTTTAGTAAATAAAATCTCCACAAGTCTCCATTTTCTATGCAGTTAACAAGCATACTGATGTAGAAAACTACATAACGGAAATCTGTTATCAAGAATGGGCTTTCCTTGCACTGCAGTACTAAAATGTTATGGTCCTGCATCATACTAAGCCAGAAGGCCACAGTGTATAGACAATATGGGAGTAAGTTTGAAAGATTATGCCTACTTGACCTCATTAGCAGAACCTGAACTAATGTGAGGTCCAATTCTAATGGGTCAGTTAATTTATTTATACTTAGCCTTCTTAAAAATGCACATCACTAACCAATTACACAGGGCAGGATAAAAAGAGATCTCTTATATCCTCTTATTTCTCATCTTGTTAGATTTGAGGATATGTGAACACACTGTTTCCTGAATTATGAAGGCTGAGGAAATGCTGTATTGAGGGTAATACAACCCATAATACAACATTTTCTCAGCCTATGTAATTGCCCCATCAAGGACAGTTAACCACCACAGACATTTAATAAGCAGAGGGCTTGCTGGTATGCCATTTACTGGCAGATATTATCTGGGGGTGATGCATGGAATACCACTAGACTCTTACTAAGAAGCAACCAAGAGAATATACTTACTTTGGACCCGGGGGGAAAAACACAACAAAAAACTGCCTTTTACTGCAAAAGAGGCCATACCGGCTTGTAGCAGGTTAAAAAGAAACTTCCTATAAAAACTGAAAAACTTAAAATTTAAAAATAAAGCAATGTGGCAGAAAAACAGATGGTTCAGTTCATACAAGCCAGATAACTTACACAGTTGCCAATAGCTTGACATTTAATTCTATTTTACCATAACTTATTTTCTTTCCCATCAATGCAGTTCCAGGGGAAAAACAGGAAGAGGGTAGGGAATTATTTAAGTATTTAATTATTATTATTATTAATTATTATTATATTTATATATAATAATTATATTAATAATTATTGTTAATAATTGATTATTAATAATCATTAGTATTAAGTACTTAATTATTTAAGTATGGCATTATCTTAACATAAATCTTAAAGTCAGAAGCTTTTACGACTAGAATTGAGAAGAAAAACAAAAATCATTATCTCTTGATATAACTATAGACTGAAAGGGACATAAGAACAGAGCTAAAATTTTTCTACAAAATGATAATTTAGCCACTTTATTTTAGTGACTAAAACGTTGTACAAATTTTTTAAATGTAGATTGTGACACTGTTTTTTTCCTTTCAGGAAATGTCTTTGAATTGCTGATGTCCTTTTGTCAAAACGATGCCACTCCTACAAGAAGCCCACCAAAAGACCTCAAGTTTGCGGCAAGCCTTGCTCATATCTGACCTCAAAAGGAAATCTGCCTACATAGGATAAAGAACAGTCAATCAATATTGGTCACATTTTCATTAATGTCATTTGTTTGTCCCACTTTGTTCAACATTTATCTTGTTTCATTTCTACTTTTTAAAATAATGTCATATCTCATTTGGAGACTTTTTTTTTTCCACTGAAACTACAACAAAAGATATTATCTATACTTGCTGCCACACTGCTCCTCATTCAATGTGTTTCACTAAGGCCCTAATATGTTCATCCCTCTGTAGTCTATGGGATTCATGGCCAAATGCTCATTCTGGTAGATCTTCTTATTCCCACAAAGACTACCACCACCTCAAAACAACTTTATAATTCTGCTTTCTCTTAGTGGTAACTATTTACTAGTTGACTAGTATTCAACAACTTTTTTATCAAAAGAAAAATTAAGTTTTTATTTAAATAAAATATAAAGAAGATCAACAAAACAAGCCAATAGAACACCCTAGACAGATTCACACTGTATGTTCTTTGAGGGCAGGACAATATCTTACTTTGTTCACCTTTCTAATTCTAATGACAAGCAGACTGCCCAAAATACAATATTTGTAGATTTAATGCATGAATAAATAACTGAATAAGTGAATGAGGATCTGCTCAGAAGGCTTAACTCACTCATAAACATTTAATAAACTCTTTCTGTATGTACCAAAGCAATGAAAGGTGCTAGGATAAAAAGATGACAGTTCTTGCCCTCAAAATCTCTATCTTGGAGGGAAAAAAACATGCAGATTATTACAACTGAGTTAAGCATAAAGTACTCTGAGAACACAGTAGATAATAGTATCCACAGTGATCACTAACACTTTGTGACAGGGGCCACAAAGGCCACTTTTGTGGGAGAATACTAAACTCATCCCCTTCCTGATCTCAAAAAATTAAAGATATATTCCAAATACTCTTAACTTTTCATTAACTCTCAAAGGCTGGATGTACCACTTTAGCCTTTTCATCATTTTACGTCACCTATATTGCTTACTATTGTGGTTATAGTCTCTGGGATACCATGCAATAGCAGAGAAATACTGGCAGGAAATCTGTTACTCTGTCCCACTCACACTAATTCTTTCACCATCACAAAAAAGGCCCTCTTTTAAAAGTAAGAAACCACCTAACCTTCTACAGACCTAATAAACATATTAAGGTTGTATGGTTCCATAGCCAAGAACAGTTTGTAAAAGAATTAGAAGGGCCACTAGGATGTACCTAAGCATTCCAGGCAGTGAGTTCTATGCTATCAGCTAAGTTTCCTGTGTTGTGTAGGCCACAGAGTGTGCAGAATGGGTCTCATCTATTAACTCCATATCATCTGGGTGTCAGTATTTCATTGGGTCATGCTGACAGTGCACTGCAGTACAATACAAACAAGGAAATAAATATACCATTCATTAATATTTCCCACAGAAAAAAATCTTTTTAAATGCAAGCAATGATAATATATTAACCCATTAACAATCAGGTATCAAAACAAGCCCTTTCTTTATCCACAGGAGACAACCACAGGTTCTACTCTAAATCTTGTTATTTAGTAGTAATTTGCACTTCTGTAAGTCAGACAACAGCAAAATAATTCATTTATTTGAAATGGAATTAGACCTATCATACTATCCAGGAATAAGCATCTGAACAGGTAAAATCTAAACACAGTGTTTAAAAGTTTAAAATCAATTTTTCCTCCATAATCAATATCAACATATCTGCAGTCATCGGCATACTTACCACACTGACTGAATTTCTCTTTTAGTTTCTGCCAAGTCAAGTCAAAAGGCAGCTAAAATGAAAAAAAGGTATTAGTAACACACATATAAGGAAAAAAACAATTTTAAGTATCTTTTACATTTAGTTGCTTACATTTCTGACAAATATCTGGTTGCCTTTGGAACCTATTCTGTCTCTCATTCCACTTCCCATTGGACCCGACAGAAATCCTCGATCCATATCGATGCTCCTTTCCAGTATAGCTCCTATACCTGGTCCCATTCTATCAAAGCTGGAACTCATCCGATCCAGTCCCATCCCCATTCCTCCAGTCACGCTGTTCATGCCACCAATTCCACCACCTGGATTTTCAGGAAAGGAAAGGAGGGTTTGGGAGTTTTTGTTTTAAAAACAGAAGGAAAAGGAGAAGGAAGAGGAAGAAAGAGAAAGAGGAGGGAGGAGAATCATTTTTGAGAAGGAAAAAGAGAAAAATTAATTCATTTATGTAATTAGATAATATATAAACATAAAATTATTTTTATACACACAATATAACAATCTTCCAAGGAACAGAATTTAATTTGGTATACATTCAGTTAGCTGAAAGTTAATGGCTAACTGAATCAGTTAATTCTAGCCACTATGTAAATACATTATACATATGTACTGCTATAAAATTACATTCTGATCATAAAACACATCATATAAATTATATAAATTTTCTACCAATTACTTTATCCACTAATATCATAGTTATTTTTATCCTCATTTTTATTTTTTAATAATTCCAGCTTAATAATTGCTAGAACAAAGATACATGAGGTAAAGTCAAATTATTACAACTCCAACACACCAATTGTTGCTCTCATCATATTCTTTCCCTAGCTTACCTTTCACCTCAGTAATTTCTGTTTCACATACAATTTCTCTTTTCATACAATTCGATTTTCAATAACCACAGAAAAACCTAACTTTTAATCTCAATATTATACAGAACTTGTGGAGATAACAACAAAAAATGGAACCACATCCCTTTAGCCAGAGCTTGAGAATGTAGCTCATAGCTCATACCCACTGTTTTCTTATGTGTTGAGTCCCCTTTAACTATTCCAATTCTACTCATTCTCAAAACTTATCCTTTTTTCTCATACCTGATATTCCCCCATACACAGAAATTCTAAAAATTAACATCACCCTCAAATTGGCTTTCTGTAAATGACAACTATAAAATTAGGGAACCAGAAGTATAAATACTGAGGTGAAAAAGGAAGGTAGGGAAGTTATGATTAATAGGAAAATGGCCAAGGCTGAAAAGATGATGAAGAGAAGGAATAAAATGACAAGCAAGGTACAATGGAAGTAAATATCTTTAGCTGATAGGATTTTTTAATTCATTCTTAGAATAGTTCGAGTAGGCTGTGTTTCGCATTTGTGAGATTTCAATCAATTAAAGGAAGTCAATCAAGTATGGAGAACTCCCAGAGACAAGGCTCAGTAAGCAACAGAGGTCAAAAACTAAGCCATGTGTTAAGGCTTAATGTAAGGCCTTAACTGTGGTAGCGGAAACAGATGGGAGATTTGGCATTCCCCAGTGTTGCAACTACTCTTGATTCTATCATGGGAAAGGTTTAAGAGGAGAGGAAGCAAGCATCTCTTTCAACCTTAGCCCTCAACCTCAGGAGGTCTCTAGAAGTGTGGTATCTGGGGCAATTCACCTGTGTCTACCAAAAGACACAAGATGTTCAGATGAAACAACACCAACAGCAGTTGTAGAGAATAAGCAAGGAAACAAAGAAGGTGCTAAAGCAAAAGCTGTTCCTGCCACATGATCAGAGAAATTCCCAGATTCCTTAGTTAGAAAGGAGGTTCCTGAACTGGCTGACAGTTAACATATACTCTGGTGTTAGTTTAGAAATGTCAAACAAGTAAATTTAAAGTTAGTTTAGAAATTTCAAACAGTGATCAAACAGAAAAGTTCCTTAACTATCAAAGTTTCTCTAAATTATGACAAGACACATTAACATATAAGAACAAAGTATTACTATACTACAATAACTACTCTTGCAAAGTCTTTTGCAAGCACTCAAATATTACTGAATAAATTCCAGTAAAATTTAAACCTACTTATTCCAGATCCTACTGGACCCATGTTAGAAGCTCCTATTCTTCCTGCAAACCCTCCAATCATTGCACTGCCTAAACAAGGATGGAAAGATAACATACTAATTAATTTAAATAATCATACTTTAAAATTCCCAAGATACTATGCTCTCAGAAGAGGTACAGTAACTGAAAAGTATAAAGTCTTCTAGACATAGGGTTCAAATATGTAAGATATTGAAAAAGAGAGCATGTACATTAAAATCCCTCAAGTGTTTTCCTTCAAGTAATAAATTGTGTGAAACATCATAAATTTCCAATTTTTCACCAAAAAAAGGAGAGAAACAAACTTTGAAAAATATAACCTGCAAAAAAAAAAGGAAAAGTATGCAGTCAGCCCTACCAAGTCTACCAAAGGAATCTCCAAAGCCTCGATTTATTCCAATATCACCACGTCCAAAATCTCTCTCCATGCTACTAGTCATCGCACCGCGGTATAGCTCTGAAAAGATTATGCAACAAATTAATCCTTTTTCAAGTACATTAATACAAGGCAATCCATTTAGGAACACACTGAAACTAAACTGAAAAGATAGCAAAAGTCACAAACACAAAAAAAGTCTGTGATTTACTCAACTTACCTCACATGCCACATAGATGCCCAGTCCCACCATGCCTGTCTCTATTCCCCAGTGCCCATATGCCCTCTGAAGACATCTAGTACCCATTCCTAAGTGAAGGGGGAAAATTTTAATAATAGAGAAAACTAAACATAGCATACACATCCCACTATATACATTTACCTACCTCCCATTCGGCCAACTCCTCCAAATCCTCCCATGCTATTCATTGCTTCCAGACCACCAAACCCAATTCCTATGAAATAAAGATTCATTTTGAGATTTGACTGTCAGTTGTATAGCTGAAAGGTACATTTTGTAAATGTTGAGTTTCACCAGTAAGCTCTTCATCCACCCTACCTTGTGTAGCTACTTCTTAACACATCACCTTCATATCCCTTAAGTATGTACCAGGCTCAATTTCTGCTAGCAGCCTTTAGGACATGAGCCAACAATAAACCATGACTTTTTTTTCCCTTGGAATTCTCAACACAGTTTCTAATTTACTAAAAATGGTGATGGGTACATACAAAAAACAAATGCTTATACATACCTCCTCCAATTCTATTCATTCCTCCAAAACCTGGACCATCCATTCCCATACCTCAAATAAAATACACAGTATGTACTTTCAGTAAATCTTATTTTTCCAACTCAAGAATGAGATAATGCAATACAGAAAAACAGATACCACTGGTCTAGTCACAACGGAACAGAAGAAAAGCAGTGGGGCATAGGTGGGATGGTTTAAAGTGCTATGCCATGATAGTTGTCTAATCATGAGTCTTCAAAAAAGCCTCTTTGAATATTTATTAGACAAGAAAACAAAATTCACTGGTCACACTCACATTAAGTTAGAGAATATCTAGGACTGGGTAATCATTCATTTCTTTTCAGCACAAACACACAATCATCACTATAGCAGACTTAGAGGTCAGGTCAGAAAGTAAGGACTCCTCTAAATATGGCAGCTAAGGGAGCAGTAAAAAATTAAAGAATAAAAATAGCATGTGTTTAGGAGGGTGTAGGGCCTAAGAGCAAGAGAGAAAATTTCCATCTGTTTGGATCAAAATGATTACCGTAGCTACCCTCATAATTTAAAGTATAGCTATAACACTTCAACAAAAATAGGAATCTGATAGCATTTATTAGTCCATCGATTAAAACAGCAGTTCTCAAAGTACGGTCTAGGGACCCTTGAGGGTCCAATAGGTCAAAACTATTTTATTCATCAGATAACACCAAGATATCATTTGACTGTTTTACTCTCATGAATATAAGGTGGGATTTTCCAGAACTACATGATGTATATCATAACAAATTGAATGCAGAAGTATTTAGCCAAACATTAAAGAGATGTACAAAAGAGGTAAAACAATGCCACTCTTTTCACTAAGTTTTTTATATTGGAAAATACAATTTATTTTCTTAAAAATTATATTCATGTTAATACATAATGGGTTTATTATTATTTTAAATATGTAAATATTTTTTAAGCATCTAAGTTTTAATTTTTAATACAGCAAATACTGACAAATATAACACATAAACAAAAGCCTTTTGGGGTCCTCAACAAATTTTAAGAGTATAAAAGGGTTCTGAAACCAAAAAGTTTAAAAACCAATCTTTAAAGATAAACCGTTAGTCTAGGTAAAGAGCAAAATAGCTATCTTAAAAGCTACCTTTCCAACTAGATATACAAATATAAATTGCTTATGATAAGGTAGCATTTCAGCCATTCCACAAATACTGTATATCCATGATACACAAGGCACCATACTGAACATTCTCCTTCTGCCTCAAAGACATTTTAAAATCTGAAGTGCTAAAAGGCTAGCTACAACATGGCTGGCCTCAGAGGAACCCTCCTGACCTTTGCCCATCTTCTTTCATGTTCTCTGCCCCCAAGGTTTCATTCCTTTTTCAGACTGAAGTGACATCCTAAATATTCAACTATAAAATAGAGTCCTTTAAATATTATTACAAACAGGTAAACGTCAGCTTCATAAGCTTCATAACCTATGTTTATAGAGTATAGATTATTATGCAAATGTTATCATTTAAAAAGAAATAAGAAAGAATACGTACCACTGGGACCTAAATTTCCCATTACACCTCCTATGTTCAACTGGCTGGCACTAATAGGCTGTCCACCTGGACCAAGTCCCATTCCAATGCCTCCAAGACCACCTAAAACACAAATAAGAATAACATTACCAACCCATATATGACTAACTACCTGGTACTAAATTTTTTTTAAAAGCTATATGCCTGTAGTAGTATTCCTAAAATTTTTCAAATTTGTAAATAAGAGCACTGATTCTTGTTTTCATTGAAATGCAGCAGACTGAAGCCTCACTATAATACTACTTATTAATGAGAAGTGTTTTATGAAGCAGGTCATCTTATATCCCAGTTAAAGGCATATTGAAAAGGACTCATGAAATACCAAGAGGATAATATCACTTTATAAATGGCATACATAGCTGAAGATGAGAACGTTGCTCAAATTTGTTGAACCACTTAAAATCTAAGAATTACTTTTAAGATGGTTAAAATCAAACTAAAAAGTCAACAAGCATGAAACCATAATAATAAATATAGCAAATGTTACATTAACTAGTTTTATCATTGACATAAATATTTCTTTACAATTATATGGCACCTTAAGTGTTTTCACATCTATTATCCATAAAGGAGGAAATTTTTGAGACCTTAAGTTACTTGTACAATGCCATTTAGCCATGTGATTAAGCTAAGACTAAAATTTAAGTTTTCTGTCTCTAAATCCACTATTCTTTTTACTACCTCTCTTAAAATAAATTAATTAAATTTACTGAAAACATATGTTAAGAAGATAATTTGATAACACTAAAACAGTAGAACTAATTAACATTTGAGTGGGAACTATTTTATTCTACTAAATCTGAGTATGGTTTTAAAGTTCTTGCTAGTCAATGTAGCATTTAAAAAGTGGTAGGGGCTGAGAAAATGATTCATTTTTTTTTTTTAAGATAGAGTACAGAAGCATGTTGTGTTAAACTGGAAAGATCAATGAGTGATCTGGTAAGAGAAATATCTTTTTTCAGCTCAGTCCCTAAAAATGGTCCAACTGAAAGCAAAAGCACATTTAACTATCAACAATGTTCATGTCTACACCTAGCATTCATATTTTCATCTGGTATCATTCTTTACTAAAAGGAACCAGGACTCCTTGAAAGTAGGCCAATCTCATGTCTTAGAACAAGGAAAATCTTCATTGATCTGGGAAATCTTGTTTTTACCAAAAAGTAAGAATATCAGAGGCATAGGAAATAAGGAGGTTCCCAATTGCCAAGTTATAATCATTTGAGCAAAGGAAGGGAGGGAGAAAGGGAGAAAGAAAAAATGGGGAGGTTAATAATGACTAACTTAACTAAAACAACAAACTGATTCTGTCAAAGTATATGAGTTCATATTATATCTCAATAGAGATGAGCATATAAAAATGTAAATTTCAAAAAGAACAGATATAAAAGAAGTATGAATGTAACAGAGGATATATTTTTATCTAAATAAATAGAAGAGTATTAATAGTGGAAAAGAAAATTGGAAGTCCCTACATAAAGCTAGGACCTTGAAAGATGACACCCGGAGTGACAAGGCAAACTTGGTGAAGGCAGGAAAGGACTGCCCTGTAAAGGGAGAATGGGCAATATTCAAAGACATGTGAGCGGAGAATTTTCCAGAATTTATTTTAAAAACTGAATTCTCAGATAGTGAAATCCCAATAAATAGTAATCCACATGTACACTGTAATCAAACGGCATCTCCAAGACAAAGATCTTAAAAATCAGTCACATGAAAAACACAGCTTACCTATAAAGAAAGGACAATTCAACTGATAGCTAACTTAATAGCTACAATGGAAGCCAGAAGACTGTGGAATATTTTCAAAATGCTGAAAGAAAATAACTATCGATCTCAAAGATATAACCAGTAAAACTATTTTTGAAGACGTTTATGGACAAACCAAACTCGAGAGAATTTACTAACAACAGATCCTCATTGAAAGAACTTTCAAACAATGTGCTTCAGGAGAAAAAAATCTGTGCCAGGGTCTGTGAAAGCAGAGAAATGATGAGACATAAAAATGGTAAATAATAATAATGCCTAATTTGTGAGATTGAAAAAAGCAATATAGAACAAAAACACTGAGCAATAAAAGCACATAATTCAGTACAAAAGTGATTAGAATTAAAGCATTCAAAGGTCACTCTACTACTGAGTAAAAAATAATTAACTTCAGATTTTATATAGACATATTAAAATATCCAGGATAACTACTAAAAGAGAAGGCAAGAGAGAAGAAAAATAAATATTTGTAAAAAGCAGAAAAATAGAACACAAAATAAGATAATGGGAATTAATCCAAATAAATCAATAAATGTGACTAAACAAAACAAAGCTGTTATATCTATATTAACACTAGACAGAAGACTTAAAGGTAGTTACTAAATATAAAATCACTCTATAATGATAAAATTTTGATTCACTAGGAAAATATATCAGTTACAAAAACTTGGATCACCTACTAAGTCAGATTCAAAATAATTAAAGTAAAAACAGGAAAAAATAGACAAATCCACCATTCTAGTGAGAGATTTTACCGTATATATCTCTAAGTAATTGATAGCACAAGCAGACAAAATAATTAGTAGAAATATGAGGCAATTTACATGATTAGCAAACAATTTAATGGACATATATAGAACAACGCACTCACTAAGCACACCTGGAATACTTATAAAAATGCGCCACATATTAGGCCGCGATGCAAAGTCCAAATTAATTCCAAAGAATCACAATCACACAAACCGTCTTCTCTGACCACACTGCTGAGTTAGAAATTAATAAGGGAAAAAAACCATACATGTGGGAATTCAAAAATACATGGCTTAAGAAAAAAATCATAATGGTAATTTAATAAAAATTAAATCACAAAAATATTCCATAGCAAAACCTGTGTACAACGGCTAAATTTATAGTCATAACTATTTATATTAGAAAAGAAAGGCTACAAATTAGTGAAGTAAACATTCAACTGACGGAGTTAGGACAGAAATAAGAGACTAAACTCCAAGAAATAGAAAGAAGAAAATAATAAAGCTAAGAGCAGAAATTAAAATATAGAAAACGAAATTCACCTCTTTGAAAGTACTAATAAAACTGACAAATCTCTAAGCAAAAATGACCAAGAAAAAAAGAGAAATTGCAAACCTTCAGAGTTTAAAAGAAAACAGAACTATAGATGTGGTCAAAATTTAAGAGAGACTATTTTAGGCTAATAAATCTGAAAACGGACAGAAATCGTAAAATTCTTAGAAAAACAGAAATTACCAAAATTGACTCAAGAATCAATAGAAAATATGGACAATCAGTAGTTAAAAATCTTCCCCCAAACAATACACCAAGGCCAGACAGTTGTATTACAAGTTATTTCTAGCAAACACTGAGAGAACAGATCATTCCAACAGAAAAAGAACACTCCCCAACTTAGTGTTGTTTCTAGCAACAAAAAATTAGAATAACCTAAAAAATAGAAAAATATATAAAATATGATATTAGCAGTTAAAATGAAGGAACTAGAGCTACATCTATCAACATAAACAAATCTCGAAAAGAGCAAGTTACAGAATAATATACACAATATGATGTCACACACCAAATTTTAAATCCAGTAAAACAATTCCATATCATGTTTATGGATATATAAATTGTAGTCAAATTATTAAAACCTAAATCATAAATACTACATTCATAAGTTGTTTCCTCTGGGTAAGGTATCTGGTGGGAGGAGGGCAGGGAATAGGTCTCAACTTTATCTGCAAAATTTTATTTTAAAGAAAAATCACCTAAACAAATATGGCCTATAATAGCTACATGAGTAATTTTATTTTTGTCGGTATATTTAAGATATTTTATGATTAAAAAAACTTTAATGATAACGAGAGAAGGTAGACTAAAATAGTAAGAACAAGAGCTAGTTATTTATTGAATGCTTACATTATGCCAGAACTGTTCTAAGTGCTGTGTATATATATATTAATTCATGCAATACTCATGCCAATGAAGTAGGTTCTATTATCATCCTCATTTTGCAGATGGGGCATTGAGACACAGATGTTAAGTACATTACATTGTTGTTTTATAATCCTTTGGAAAACAATTTGATAATACTGATCAATGAGCATACCTGAGAACCTGTAAATCTACTTCAGGATATCTTAAGGAAATAACCAAAAACATACCAAAGATTTTTATATAAAAAGACATGAATTACTCTGCTGGTGATTAAAGGAAAAAAGTTAAAACATCTAAATACACATAGTGAAATAGTTATGGAGCATCCATATGATAGACTATCACACAGCCAATAAAAATATTTGGAAAGAATTTTCAACATGGAATAATGCTTATACTCTGTTAAACCAAAAAATACAAAATTATTTATATGGTAGTTCTCAACTACATAAAAAATATACATAGAAGGAAAGACTGAAAGACAAGACACTTTAATACTATAACAGTGGTTACTCGTGGGTGGTAAAATTACAAGGACTTTTACCCCCTTCTTGTGCATGAACTTACCAAAGTTTTTAGTATATATTGCTTTTATAATCAGGAAAAACTACCAAAAAGGAACAAAATGGCACATATTTATCTTCCCAGTCTTCCTAAACAATCACGCCAAACTATCTCCATAATTTGAAACTAACCCTAAACTCTGGGCAACTTGGGACGTAGGCACGAAAATAAAGAGTTTCGCTTAGCATATAAAAAATTGTAAAAGAATAGTCTGTATTGTTTCTAATAGCTTTTACTTACGTGGTAATTGTGGTGTTTTACTATCATGTGAACGGTAGTCTTCATGAGGGACAGACTTGTCATCCTAATTGCAAAAAAGTTTATTATAGGGTTAATATATAACTAAAAAGATCTGCAATGTAGAGGAGAGCAGATAAAAGATTTCAAGAGGCTGGAGGGTTGAAGTGATATATAGGAACTCACCATTTTCACATGCATAGGTCTATCAAACAAAAACTGCCCATTGAACATAGCTGTTGGTTCAGTCAAGGAAAGCCAGTTAATACAACTATAAAATTATACTTGAACACAAACACATTTTTAATAATCTTATTTAGAGTCAGGCTAACTCTAATAATTTAATCAATGTCTTCAATATTTTACTTATTTGTATTAGTGTCTTTCATATACTCAAAGAAAAATCTTTAATTCTTTGCTTTATATTTTTATTTTATAAATAAAATACAAACTTTTAATTCAACCATTGAAAAAAGAAAATTAACAAGGCTTCTTTTAAAGCAATTGCATTAATGCACAATGGATTACCTAACTGTTAACAGCATGTATACATACAATTAGTTGTGGCAGGAAGAGAAAGGAGAAAAAACTTCATACCAGGCCTGTACAATACAGCTAATTCAAGTTTTAAGAGTGACTTTAGTACTTGGACATAGTAAAGGTTTTATGGTGCTGGAGACTAAAGTCTAACACACATTTCTAAGCCAGCCAACCTTCAATTCCATGACCCCCACAATGTGGTATCAAGCTTCTTCAACCTTAGTAAATAATGCTAAAGTGTAAATCAGGATACAAATTGCTTGAACTGCTTCAATTGCTTGTTCAAAAGTGACTGTGCCCATTCCTCTGCTCTTGCCATCTTTGTCTTCTTTAATATCTGCCCGCTTTACAGTTCCAGCTATGCTGAACACTTCCTTTAGCTTCTTCCAACCAACTTTGAAGTCAAGCTTAACATAAAATTATACAAGGTTACATACCTAATAAACCCCTCTCCCCATTTATAAATAATACAAACAAATCTTTTCTAAATTCTCAAAACCATAAAGAACTATAATTCTTGTTAAATAGTATATCAGTAGTATTCAACTAAAAACATCTTAAGTTGTTTAAAATCAGTTAAGCTACATCTACATTGTTCCTCATCCTTAATTTTTTTTTAATTCCCAAAACAGTCTCTCAATTGCTCAATCCTGCTTTGCACATTTGAAACTTGCACACCTATTTTTACTGAGATAAATTCAGATTTTGGAAAGTACTGTACATATTACTGACTTGCAGAAGCTTAGAACAAATGACAAACCAACTACAACGTGCACATCACAAATATCAAAGCTAAAGAAAGAAATCCATTTACTAACATGAACAAAAATCACATACAATAAAAGTAAATCATTTCAAGAACTGCTTGTGTTTATAAATTCCACAGTTCTCTTTTAAAAAATCCTAAATACTTGTATTTACACTCTAACCTTACATAAACAGACTTAAATTGGGGTTTTTACAATAATTACTGTTTTGCTTACTGTAGTTAAAAATAAGCAAAATGTTCTATAAACCTACAACCCATTCATCTAATTAATCTCATGATTAGAACTAAATATCTGAACAACAAAAATTTAGACTAAAGCTTAAACTTACATTAGCAACAAAAATTGTGGAACCAAGTCTACCAGCCTGCAAATTACTGATAACCTCAGGAGGAATGTTTGGATTATTGAGAATGGAAGGTGGTAAATTCATCAACCCTGATCCCATATCAGGTACATGTCCTCCTGGAAATGATCCTCCTGTTCGTTGCAATGCCCTACGAGCATTTTCTCCATCAGGATCCTATAACACACATTGAATGTTAAATGCCACTAGATACATAAGCAAGTCTACATCATTAAATTAACAACTTCAAATTCTATAGTGGCTATCCCATCTGGCTCAAATTATTGGCCCTCTTGAAGAGTGAGCTTTTTTTCTCATCCAGAGAATTCCGTCCCATAAAAACCTGTGGACAGACAAAAGATTTCAGTCTCCAGGGATGTCAATTAAATACCTCTTTCCAATCAAATACCTCTTTCCAATCACTAAAGTCACTTAAGAACTTGAAATTAGTTTGATTTCACCCTCATACTGGTGTACAAGTATATGGCACATACACATAAATACACATAACTCAAAGAGGAACAAAATACTTACTGTGACTTTTCAAAATGCAGTAAGGGTGAATTTTCACCACTGGCTGCCCAATGCAATGCCAAATTCAGACTAATTGAAAGCTTTTCAACAGCGAAGAGACTGTTATAAAACCCAGGAATATTGGGGTAGAGGGGAAGTATTATAATATATAATTTCATTCCTGAACAAAATACAATTATCCACCTTCTAACCTCTTTCCTTCCTCAACAATGATTATGATCTGAGATGGAGGGAGAGGGGAGATAAAGAAAGGCTAAGTGTTCAAGTGAAGAATGAGACTAAACATTGCTTTTTTTAGTTTACTAACTTTATAAGAGAAATATTCTACCTTTAAACAAAATAAAAAAGCAAATTCAAAAAGCAAACAAAACAGCAACTAGAAGGATGTGCAGCTATGACATACAACTATCTACTGGGGCTTTGGGGGAAAAAAAATAAATAAATAAAAATTAAAAAAAAAAAAAAAAGCAAACAAAAACCACATAACAAATTGATACACTATCATCTGCAATACCAAATGATTATGATACACGTAACCATCAACTCTATTCTGCTGGCCTCAGTCTGGAAATACTAAGAAAAAGAAAGTTGGATAATTTAATAAATTCTCTAGGAAGGCTGGGAGAATAGAAGGTGAAAAAGTGAATGCAAGAATAAAGGTGTTCTGTCTTCCAAAGTATTCTTCACCATTAAGGAAAAAAAAGAAATACAGAAGTAAAGAAATAAATGTTTAGAAGAATACTTATAAAACCTTTAAGCTAATAAATAGTATATGCTTCAGGTTCAAGGTTTCAAAAACTTGCACAAATACAAAATTTAGGATAATGGTTACCTATGGAGGAAGGAGAAAGACAGAGTAGGGGAGATGCTTCATGAACTATTAAGATAGTTAAGTTGTTTGTCCTTAACATCTTAACATTAATAAAGCAGATTCCTATGTTTTGATTTGTCTTTTTATGACAAATATATATAAATATATATATATATACACAAAAATATATACATATAGAATATATAAAACATATATAAGATACAATTTATATAAAACAAATTACCTACTATGTTACATGGTTTTTAATTCCTCTTGTCCCCTTGGATGTCAGCCTGCCAGTCATACCCTGCTATTGCTATTGGAGGGCCAATAATAAGTTTACAACTGCTACTAATCCCCATTTAATTAAATGAAAAAAAGGCAATTCTAATATCTGTTAAGGAACACTGGAAATACACTTTTCCTTAGACTCTCACTAGTAGTTCTCAGCATTGACCCCAGCCACTCATTTGTAAATCAGATATTCCCAGAAAAGGGACATTTAGTGATAATAATCCAAAAAAGTTAATTGAATAGAGAACACCTCATCATTTAGCTAGGTCCAACTCAACCATTTTTTTCTCTTAAAAAACTTAAAAATGGAAGTATCCTATATCACCTTGGATCACACAACTCTATTCTAGGGTCTCTGAAATATTACTGAGGATCTATAATGTGCTAAAACTTAAAAGAACACACAAAAAAAATGGGCTTGGCCCTTAGTATCCAATAAACTTTTTTTCCAATTTAAAAAAAGACACTAAGAATCTATAATACTTGTCTTTTGAAGAAGAATAGAAAAAATCATAAAACAGCAAATCATAATCCTCAAAATAATAATTTCCCATAATGGTGGCTGTTCTACAAATACCACCCTTATGGGAAATTATTAGGATATCAACACATTTCTGCAACACTGGTCCAGGCTTATGCATAAAAACTACCAATAAATGGCTGGCACAGACCACCACAGTCTAAACTTTCTCTACCAATTCTCACTTCCTGGTCAAAATATTTAAAATAAATAAATAAAGCCCCAGGCTCAAACAGATTTAGAGGAATTCAGAAGCTGACTCCAATAAAGCGTTTTGAAATACTTTATTTGGTGGTAGCACGGCCTTTATTTTAAGCTATTATCACCTCATATGCAAGAACAAAAGACCAACAACCAGTAACATTCCCACCTTGGACAGGAATAACAATTCATCACTAATAACATCACAATAATAACATCACTATTATTATTACAGCTAATATTTATTATGTAACTACAATATTTTGAGCACTGTGCTACGTGCTTTATATAACAGTATCACAATTAAAACAAACCGCTAACATTTATTAAATGATTTACATATATTAACTCAGAGTCCTTATAACACTATCAGATAGGTTCTAGCATTATTCCCATTTTAGTGATCAGGAAACAAAGAAATAGAGAGGTTAAGTAATTTGCCCTGGGTCACACAGATTCTCTGATGCCAGAGCCTGAGTTCTTTACCATGTATTTTACTTAATTCTCATAAAAACCCTATTAGGTAAGTGTTATCAGTAGTAATATAATTCCTGAGGTTTAGAGAATAAGTCACACAGCTAGAAAGTGATAGAGCTGAGACTCAAATCACTATTATACTACGTTTAATTGTGACTGACAGTACTGCTCTACTACCAATGATTTACATCCATGTTGGTGGAGACTCTTCTGGGTCTCCAAGTTACATCCTCTACCCTTTTTAATACCGACTTTAGCAAGGATATGTGCATAACTGATCTGTGATCAAACTATTCAGATAAGATTAACAACAAGAACGAAAAGAAGACATGAAAATGACTGCTATTCAAGCTAACCATTTTCCAAGTCAACTGTATCTAACTGTAAAGAATGTTTCTATGTATCTTCTGATCATTCTTTTGTCAACATATTTATACTGGTACAATTCCATACAAAGGGAACATCTCCATTTTAGGGTTTTCCAAGTTCCAGTTATAAATTTCACTAACAGATTTATAACTTCTCTTAAATTTTAATCTGGCACAGTCTCAGGTTAATTTTATTAAAAGTGAATACCAATTTTATTCTAATCCACAAGGCATCTGTGTTATTAAGCAACCTGTAATTATCAACTACAAGAATGTCTACTATATTTCTCAAATTAAACAACACAATCTAAAAATTAAAAATGTTATACCAAACAAAGTCAGCATCTAAAGCGTGTCATCTTTAAATTTCTGGGTCCTGAAATTTTTTAAAATTATGCACCTCCACTTATAATAACTTGGAACAAATCAATATATAGGATAACTGCCCTTCCCATTAAGGGCAAATAGGAAATCATGTACAAGCAAAACTATGATCATTATATAATGCTTAAATAAGCATCTATGCTAAAAAAAAAATGTTGTTGTTGGATAAATACATTACCAAAGATGAAAATCCAAAGAAAACATGTCCTTATATTCAAATGTTTAAATTATTCCAAGTATAAGAAATCTTACCTCTTTAATATTCAGGGGTCTTCCACTAAGATCATATTTGTTCATAGTTTCTAATGCTTTCTTTACAAATTCTTCATCTTTGAATTCAACCACACTTAACAGGGAAAAAATTTATAGGAAATGTTTATGTACTAAGATATCTTTTTTCCAATCAGAAGTTTAAATTTGACTTAAGATACTTAAAAAAAAAATTCTTACCCACAACCCTATATCCAGGTAGATTTGTCAACATATGCAAAAGAAAAAAAGTTTTAGATCAGTAGATGAAGTTAATGGTAGATTCTAACATTTAAGTCATCAAAAGCAATCAATAGTACAATCACTTTTTTCTTTATCCCTCCAGAACATAACAGGCAAGTGACCACAAATTTTCTGTAAATTTTTAAATCTATCTATTTAAGACAGTAGAATCCAGCATTTAACAAGCTTGGAGTACAGTTTTACTTTTAGATGACTCTTCTTTAAGTTGTTAGTAATGTCACTGCACAAATTCAATCAAAAGTAACTCAAGTAAATAACTGAAGCCTCCAATATACTTATCCTTACATTGTGATAAATATTTTCAAAAGATGTATTATTATGCACAAATAGTTTTTAACATATATTTTCAATCTTATTAAAATCAAAATAGGAAATATTAATCTCATTTTTAACAATGTTCTCTGTTAGAGAAAACTGGCTGCACACAATTTAACAGCATCCAGTTGTAAGTATATTAAAAAACCACCTATACTAAAGAAACAAATTTGTAGAATCACTTTTTAAATAATTCCTTTTCATTATTACTGTTCAAAGCGCCATTTGAATGTAATGACAAAGTTTTTATTTCTCATGCACCCAACTGATTTTTGATAATATAATTAAACACTGTTAAAAGCTTTCCACTGTATTCTTCCGTATACTGCTTTCTTGTTGCTAAAAATCAGTATCTACTATCAACCAATTCCTTCTATGTCAATTTTAATCATCAATGTCATTCATACCAATTGGTCAGAGCACTGCCTCTTATGTGGTCCTGCAGCCTACCAAATTAAGCTCTTCAGTGTAAGTTTCAAACATATATTCTGAATTAACACCTTTAAGCTACAGGCCTCTCATGGAACTCTTAGGGAATATTGTCAATTCAGTGACTTTTAAAACATCCTTGAAGACATCAAAACAACAAGAAAAAATCATATATTATTGACTAAGAAGCATTACCTTAGAGCATTAGAAAAGTGAATGCCTTTTATCAGCATTTACAAAACCCATCCCTTCCAGGGAGCTAGTTTGGTTTGAATAAGTGTCAGACTTGCTAGTATAAAGCCTCAAATCTTGCATAATAAAGTAAAACAAAATGAAACTTAAGTTTCCAAAAACTGGTACAAGTATTATACAAAAAGTAAACTGCTGAGGAACTTTTAAACCTCAAGCAGATTATTGCCCACAGCACTTACCCTTGATTTTCCTTCCGCATCCTTAAAGAGCTCCACGTATGTAACCTCACCAACTACATAAGACATACAAAAGGAAGATACCAAGAAACAATACATTTAAACACCAATATCTTGCTTTACTGCACACCTGTGCACAACTCTACAGAAAAGCACCTATTATTCACCAACAATCAAAACCAGACCAACATACCTCCTGTCAATGGCTATGTAAATTTAACTAATTTTCAGAAATGTACATCATCCACATTCTCTAAAAAAGCTAACAACCATATTAACCTAATTCGTACTACAGATCATAGTTTGGCCAGCATGATATAGTTGGTGAACAAATGCACATATACATACAAATGGCCCCTTAGCCTATCATATTAAAAGCATCGACATTAGCACTTATCAAATAACTTTGGTCGCCTACACACAACAGCTGTTTTAAGGTGACTTTCTACCTGAATGTCTTCAATCATGTTTGCCATCAATAAACTAAATTTACAAGTCATGCTTCACAGCAAGCCACACACTTTCTAAATAAAGTCAATGAATAAAACCAATCAAATAGTTGTCACCTTACAACAGATACACCAATGCAATTTTTATTTATTTATTAGAAGAGATCAGCCTCAAAGCCAAGTACATAGTTTGCAGGACTGTTGAAACTCAATTTTTCAAGAGATAACAAAACTAACTTTTACAAGATCAAATATTAAAATTATTTTTCCCCAAAATCAACCATGTATATAAAATGAGGGTTTTCAGGTTATTCTGAAAACAAAACTGCAACAGCAGTAACGCAATTTTAATATAGAACTGCAGAGACAGCATCATGGCATTCATGACAATGCAAACAAGATGAATTCCACAGCCGGATTCCAGACTCCACCAAGATAATAACAAAACAGCTTTTGGAAAAAAAATAATCAGACCTTATTATTCATACTTTAACACACTAAATGTATTGCTTAACTAATACAACAGTCCTTTAAAAATCTATAAAAACTTCAACTAGGCAAAGCAATCACTTTAACAAAATTCTTGGTGGCATGCATATGCTGGCTCACTACTATTCCACTAAAATGACAAAAAAAAAAAAAAAAAAAAAAACCTTCATTTATCCATACTACCTCGTAAGGAAATTGTGTCAAGTGAAAGAAGAGGAAAAGATTAATTCATGTGTCAAGAAATAAAACAAAAATCCATTTATTGAGTCTGTGTGGCTCAGAAGAATAAAAAAGTTTGCTTAGCTCCCTTCCCCCCTTCTACATGAAGATTATCCAACAGTGGGTTTATCAGAGATGGTTACCTTTTTCTCTCATTAGATCTTTAATAGCTTGCCATTTCATGTCATATGGGATGTTGCTAATGAAAACTCTGTTACGATTTGGACCCTTCTTTTCTCCAGTGCCCGAATTCTTGTCTTTTGAATAAGGATGAAATCTATTGGCTTTCTTATTTCCTGTAGACTTTTCTTTTAATTCAGATTTCTCTTCCTTCACTGATTCATCATTCTCTCTATGAATTAAAAACAAAACAACAAAAATAAAACCTCAGTCATGCTTTAATAACAAAAGTCTATATTAAATATTTCATATTTATCACTTCATTTCACCAAACTCTCACTAAGATAGACCTCAGCAAAGCAGCTGGAGAATCAGCCTGCTGGCTCTGAAATTATCCAATGCCATTTCAAAGCAAGGATTTGGGCATATTACCAACTTCTCATTTAACAGTCCTCATTTTTTTCCATATTAAATAGCTACAGCATCCAAACAATCACCCAGTTTTTCCCATCACAATACTTAATAAACATTATCAGAACTTAACAAGAGGGGAAAACCAATGATTTTATTCCTACAGTATGTAAAACTGCCACCTTTAATGGAGAATTAACTTTCTGGGCCTCATTGAGAACTCTAAAAAATCTAATTTACAAAATGATATCCTGAAAAATTTTATCTTAAATGTTAATGGTTTCTTCCCAGACTTTTTCTCCTCCACTGCTTAAAAACATAATTAAAATACATAGCTGTATCTATATATGTATATACTCCCATATGACTCTCATAATTTGTTTCTATTCCCAATTTTGATCAACACAGAAGACTGATAAGGTATCCTAATATTTTCATGCTCAATATTTTCTGTGTTTTAACCTATAAACTAGGATACGGTACTTCATAGAATCATGCCATTTTTATTGGTAGTATTTCCTACAATGGGGAGAGGAGGTGAAGGAGGGAAGCAGTGCTTAAATGCAATTCAAATCAGAATTTTATAAATCTACTTTTTTTTTTTTTGCCAAAGAAGATTCACCCTGAGCTAATATCCACTGCTAACCTTCCTCTTTTTTTGCCTGAGGAAGATTAGCCATGAGCTAACATCTGTGCCAACCTTCCTCCATTTTCTATGCGGGTCGCGCCACAGTATGGATGATGAGTGGTGTAGGTCCACGCCCGGGACCTGAACACGCAAACAGGAGCAGCCAAAGTGGAGTGCGCTGAACTTAACCACTATATCATGGGGCTGGCCCCTAAATCTACTTTTTTCTTTTTATGAGGAAGACTGGCTCTGAGCTAACATCCATTGCCAATCCTCCTCTTTTTGCTGAGGAAGATTAGCCCGGAGCTAACATCTGTGCCAATCTTCCTCTATTTTGTATGTGGGATGCCGCCACAGCATGGCTTGATAAGCGGTGCATAGGTCCTCACACAAGACCTGAACCTGCGAAGCCCTGGCGGCCAAAGCGGAGTGCAGGAACTTAACCACTAGACCACTGGGCTGGCCCCTAAATCTACTTTTTAATGAGGCCCTAACTAGAAAAACATTTAATTTATAAGATTGTAATCACAACACAACTATATGATGCTATCCACCAACCATGTGTAAGATGTAAGTACACACTTGAAGTAAATCCTATAGATAAAAATCTGGATATATACTTTAAAATGCAATTTACTTTTCAAAAGGAATCTTTTTTTACAGAAGTGACAATAGGTTTATTTTAAATCACTAATTACTCTACTGAATTTAAAACCATTTAATTAAAATTTTGATTTTAAAGCAAATTTTCACTAATAAAAATCCCTGGGAATGACATTCAAGAATCTAAACCTTTTAAAGCTTCCTGGATTATTCTGACAACCAACCAGGTTTCATAATCCAGGTTCTAAATTATCTTCTAAACAAAGCAATTATGGGAATTCCTACATTGCAGTGCTCCATATACACCTCTTATTGTAGTCACTTGTTCCACAATATATTGAACTTTTTAGACACTACTTTTCTGCGCAGATAACAACACAGCCATATATATAGTAGGTAAAACTCTATGAGAACAAAAACCATCCGCCTTGGTATCAGCAGCATCTAGCATGGTAACTGCACATAACATGCGCTACATAAATATTAATTTTTGAATGAACAGTCAGTTAAGAACCCATACTCCTCTGAGCACAGATGGTGCTGCTGTCTGCCAGAAAAACTGCTTAAATCAAGGAAGAGACATTAGGCCCAAACTTGCTTTGCCGCCTTTTCAGACCTTGACAGGGACATCTTCACTGTCAAACATCTTCCCCTCAGCAGAAATGGCACAGCCTGGAAGTGATCTTCTCAACTGTCCAACTCTGGCAAGTACCTACTGGTCTGAACAGAGTAGCAGCAAGCACTGAAAATGGCAGCAAGCAGCCAAAAGGCACAGAGGCCTTTTCTCTGGTTTCTGGGTATAGTAGGTACAAGAAAAAATCCTTCTTTTCAATCCCCCAGAGAACCCATTTACATAGTAGGCTGAATTCAATGAATGTTTTTAAAATAAAAAAGTCTCTGTTCAGGTGAACAGACATCTATATAGTCTCTAGCCAAATGCCCCTCCCCCTGCCTATTTTCTTCCTGGATGAAACCAATCGCGAAAACCACACAAAGTTTCAAGTACTCATTATGTCCTTCTCTTCTTACATGGATGTTGTCAGCATTTGCTTACAACAATCTGACAATTCCATTAAAAAGCAGTAATATTATGTAAGCTACCCTCTTTAAAATATTTACTCAAAGGATGACCAGAGAGAGCAATTTCTTCAAGTCTTCCCCAATTAGAGGCATCTTAAAGATACTGCTAAACTGCTCATCTACAATGCATAAATTATCTATGGAAAACAGAACAGTTTAGTGGCTAGAGGTGTGGTCTTACTTATATTAAGAAACTAAACTATAATTACTCAATTTCTGAACTCTTTCTATGTCATAAATACACTATGGAAGAGAGAGTAAAAATACACGTGAAAACTCTTCAGGAAATGATGCTACATAATATCAAACTATTGGCACTATATCCAGAATTCCATGTAATAATTCCCAAATCATTCATTTAGGTAAAACCCCGTTAACGTACTTGAAATACGGTGACTACTCTAAGTCACAAAAACGTTACCTACTCTTAAAATTAAATTACGTCTACCCCAATGATAACACATATTTCTGAAAAATCAATATCCAACACCAAATGAGGAAACATAGTTTTAATATATGATTTTAAAAGCATAATGCTATAGAATGAGATCCAAAATTAAGCCCAGTTCCATTCTTTACTCCTAACATGATAAAAGAAAATACTACTCGGGGCCGGCCCCGTGGTTTAGCAGTTAAGTGCGCGCGCTCCGCTGCTGGCGGCCAGGGTTCGGATCCCCGGCACGCACTGACGCACCGCTTGTCCGGCCATGCTGAGGCCGCGTCCCACATACAGCAACTGGAAGGATGTGCAACTATGACATACAACTATCTACTGGGGCTTTGGGGAGAAAAAGGGAAAAAACGGAGGAGGATTGGCAACAGATGTTAGCTCAGGGCCGGTCCTCCTGAGCAAAAAGAGGAGGATTGGCATGGATGTTAGCTCAGGGCTGATCTTCCTCAAAAAAAAAAAAAGAAAGAAAGAAAATACTACTCTACTTCAACCACTTCACCCGTGCCAATTCACTGCACCAATGTTTAATATTTTATACAAGTACCCTAATGTCATATACTCCAAGGTGTTATTAATCACACATGAATAATGAAGAGTTATAACAATACTGCTATTTTTCTTCCTATTCACTTAAGAAAAGGCGAGTTGGTATACCATTTTGGCATAAAGAAAAAGACTAGACCTAGGGAAACATCTTTAATATCTTGTCAAAAGATGTAAACACGCCAACTAAATCCTCTGTGTATGGGTTTCATGATCCTAAAAGTTCATTTCTGCATTTCTTAAAAATATATTTACTGGGCCTTTTTAAGTATAAGGCAATGGGAATACAGAGATGAATAAGACCTAATGGTCTCGGGCCGGCCCCGTGGCTTAGGGGTTAAGTGCGCGTGCTCCACTGCTGGCGGCCAGGGTTCGGATCCCAGGCGCGCACCGACGCACTGCTTCTCCGGCCATGCTGAGGCCGCGTACCACATACAGCAACTAGAAGGATGTGCAGCTATGACATACAACTATCTACTGGGGCTTTACGGGGGAAAAATAAATAAAGAAAAATTAAAAAAAAAAAAAAAAGACCTAATGGTCTCTATCCTCAATGGCTAAAGACTAATCTCAGCACAAATTTCAATCTTGATAAGCGGCATTGTGTTCATTTCTAAGCAATATATATTTTAAGGCAATATTTGGTAATTTTTATCATCTCAATAAATTCTTATCATTAAAAACATATGATAATCAACTCAAGGTTTATGTATTGGGTTGTTAACTACTCCAGTTGGTTCACAGGATCAAAAAAAGGCTGTTAGGTTGATACAGGTAAATGTGCCTAGTTATTCAGTATGAGTGGCCTGTGCTGGACCATTATATGTTCTTAGAGAATAGAGAGTACAAGAAACCCCTGTGAGTAAACTGGCCTCAACTTCTGAGAAAATAAGAAAGGAGAGAGATGAACTGTAAGCAATATGAAAAGAATCTGCATTTGTATTTACTAGTAACATTTCTTAATTGCTTCACCTTATATTTTCCTCTCCCTCAATTAGAAATGAAAGGGATTCTTTTCCCACCTCTGTCTTCTTGGGTCTAGCTAAGCCACAATGAGACTTGTAAAGGGATTAGAGACTTTGAGACCTGATGGAGACTTTCAGATACCAGCTTTACCTGTACCGACACTACACTATTACACTAATCATACCCGAGTATAGGAGGGCTTCTCTCTGTTATTCAACACTGTACTATTTGTTCAGGAGAAAAGGGTGACAGGCCCAGGTTTACACATAAACAAAAAGCCCATATTTTATCAATCCAGTGGTTTTCATTCGTATCTATGATGCTAAGTCCCTGAAAACCCACATTTTCGCAGGCCTGGAAGAAAGTGCTTCACTCACTTTCCAGTTCCTCAGTTACTGAAGTGCACCACTTTCTACCAGGAGCAAACTCCAGTGAGGTCCAATCCCATATACCTGCATCTCTTTTCTGCCTGGAAGATGCTGCCTATCCTGTTCAAACCCAATTAAGACTAAGAGTGTCATAACCCAGCTGGGAGAGCTACCTTATCCCCAATCAACTCTTACACAGACTGGTGCAGGTCTTACCATACCGTTTCAAACATTTTTATACAAAAGAAAAGCAAGAATGACATTTCCCTTTCCTATTTTAATGTGAGCATATGTTCACTGCTTTCTACTCTGAGGCATAACTGAGTGAAGGACAAGGATGTTTTCACCAAATCATTAACATACTTTCAACTTCAGGTTTAAAGAGCTGGGCGTATGAAAATAAATGCCTGACTTCATATCCCCCTATATAACAACAAAGGGGAGCATAACATTCTCTCACACTAGAAATTATTATGAATTCGAGTCGACTAAATTCTCTACAGACACTGCTAACAGCCGCAACCTTACAAGCAGTGGGTTTTCTTCCATTAAAAAAATCTTATTTTACCATTATACCAAAATTAAGAACCTACCATCTCACTGCGTTTTTTAAAAACAGCCTGCAAGGCTGACAAACATGGGGGCAGGGGGACACAGGGAATAAGGCACCACGCATATTTCCCTTTTTAAAGTACCTCACCAATTCAAGAGTAACACAATGGATTCGGCGGAACAGCACGCTATTAAACTTCATCCTGGTACATATCAGTCCAGAGATGAATATATGCTTTAGAAAACAACAACAAAACACTGAACTGATAAAGCTCAGAGGGAGGCCGGAGAGCTGGGAGGCTATTCCTTTTCGGTCGTTCTCGGTGGTTAGGAGGAAACGTCCGATGATGTCATCCCTAGATACTCCCTAGTGATGAACACTAACTGCTGGTCTTTAAAAGGGGGACCATCTTCCCGCAAACCGTGGCGGCCGCCGAGTTCTGCCCAAAGGTTCTCCAGCCCCAGTCAGGGAAGAGGCGGCGAGCCGCGTCCTCGGGCCAGAAGTCGGGGCGGGGCGCCGGCCCCCCGGCCCGCACGCCGGCTCCCCGAGCCCGGGCGGGCGGGGCAGGGCCTGGCAGCGGCCCGGCTGCACCTGCCGCGCCCGCCGCCCACGGCCCGGGGGCGGTTATCCCTCACAGAGGCCCGGCCCGGCCTCGGCGCCCCCAGGCCGACTCCCCGCCCTCCGCCTCCCCCGGTCCCCTGAGGAAAAGACAATACATTTTCACGCCATTGGAGCTGCTGCTGTGCTGCGGCGGCTGCTTCTCCGGCTCCGGGGCGTGCGGTTCTCGCCGAGGCTCCCCCGGCGGCTCCGCGGGCTGCGGATGCGGGCTGTCGCCGCCAGCGGCCCCGAGCACCTCGGGCTTGTCGGCGTCCGCCATCCCGCCGCCGCTGCCTCCGCCTCGGCCGCCTGCGCTGAGGGGCTCCGAGCGCGACAATGGCGGCGGCCGGGGAAGCGGTAACGGATCCCGATTTGAAAAGGCCCCGAGCGCTCAGTTGCCCGGATCTCGCGAGAACCGGTCGGGGCTGAGAGACTGGGAGACGGTGTGAGCAGGGTATGGAGGGGTGGGAGTGCGGGGGGGAGGGGAGGGGAGGGGAGCGATGGGGTGGCGGGTCAGGGCTGCCATTGCCGCAGTCGGCCCTGCTCCAGCCCAGGGAGGGCCTGACTTGTCCAGAAACCCCTGGTGGAGCCATGTTCTGACCACCAGCCCGCCTGTCGCATGGCACCCAATGGGGTCTTCGCTTGCAGAAGTTGGCTCTGGATGTTAGAAACCCCTAGAGCTCTGAAACTCACTCTTGAATTCCTTCCATGTAGGGGCAGTTTAAATTAGAGAAGCACACACCGCTTTGCATCTTTAAAGACGTCTACAAATCTTTAGACTCTCCTTAGAAATATTTTGAATAATGCAAATAAATCACTTGCCACTTCAATGCCTAGGCACCCCGTAGACATTCAATAAATAGTTATTGATGACTGGTTGCAATTCACCAAAATGAATGGCTTTGAGTTTCTTTGAGTCCTGGTTGGTCTTGAGAATGAGGCTTTCCTTAGAACTCAGCTATCAGCTTACAAAAAGAAGAGTGAAGTTTTTTTAATTCTCTAGGCAGCAATCAATGAGGAGAATATATAATTTTCATAAGAAATCTTCCACTAGATTGGCTAATAATGGACATTTTGGGTTTTGGTTGTGTTTATTATATGCTGATGGAAATTATATTTGAAGCAGTTATAGGCTTTCAAACAAATTTAATTACCTATGGAGTTTTAAAATATAGTCATAGATTTTTCTCCTGACTATGAAAAAGAAACCCATTAAACTTTATCAGCTCCTAACTCTTGAGTACTATAATGTTTAACATTGAAATAACCTTTTTCAGATGAAAAGTTCAAAGACCTTCCCAAATGTTTCTTTTCATAAAGAAGTAAACATGTACGATTTACATACTTTGAGAATGTCACATGTGCGTTAGTAGTAAAGTTGTAGTTAGAAACTAATAGATAATTTCCTCAATTTCCCCCTGTTCTTTGACATTTCAATATGTAGGTTTCTGCCCTCAACAAAAAAAATACCATAAAACATCCGATCCTATGCCAGAAGAGTTGAGCTACTTCATCAAACACACATGCATAAACATCAGAACAATTTTAACCATGATGAATACACTTGGTAAAATACTGCGGTTTAGGGTGCTACTGACATTGTTTCATGAACACAACGCATGCTATTGTAGTTGCTGTGTAAATTGTTTCTCCTCAGTCAATCCCAAGACTTGGTGTGTGGAGTCACTGAAAGGGCATTGGATTTTGACACAGAAAACCTGGGTTAGAACCCCAGCTCTGCCACTTTCTGCCTGTAACTCCTTGGGCAAGTCACTTAACTTCTCAATCTTTCCATAATAAATAAGGATAATAATACCTACCTTGCAGGATTAAGGATGATTAAAAGAAAGCACTTTATGTAGGGCAAAGTGCTATATGAATATAAAGTAGTATTACAATTCCCTATCTCTCCATGCTGCGTGGAGTTTTAGTTAAAGAGAAGTCGGTGATTTTCTCATAGAACTGAATCATAAGTACTTTCAAAACATTTGTTGCTCTCTTGTTATGCTTTTGCTATAGTTGAATTTAATGATGAAAACATAACCTTGCAGTACTTAGTACAATATATTCTTGCAAAATCCTTGAATAGATTCAATTTAGTGTTTTTTAAGAGGCCTCTATGCTTAAAACAGAGTGGTAGGTGCATGAGGAATATAAAAATGAATATGGCCCTGTAGGGAGAGAACATTTATGAAAAGCACTATTTGAGTGCTGTAATAGAGATAAATGTGAAGTATAATTAAAAACTTATTTACAAAAATAGGAGACTGGCCTGCATGCTGCCGTGTGCTAATTAAAATATTCCATTAAAATATATATCTTGATTACTGAGTTTTTTGGCACCCCTTTAAATGTCGTGCCTAAGACAAACGCCTCCCTCACTATACCTTAGTCTTAGTCCTGATAAATACATAAAGGACAGAAGTTAATTCCTACAGGGGGGTCAGTCAGTGAGAGCTTCGTAGAAGAGCTGGCTCTTAAAACATGGAGAGAGTTGGGGCAGCTTCTGAAGAGAAAATGATTAATCCTTACTCCTCCATCTGACTGCTCTATAGATTGATCTTTTCTCCTTCTCTTGCTATTAATATTGTACTTAGCTAAATCTGCAAAAAATAAAAAATAGTTATTAATATCCTATTGTTCCTTCCATTTCTATATTTTCCTTCCTTCCTTTCTCTTTTCTTTTTTTTTTTAAAGTCTACATACTGAAATATTCTTGAGTAATGCTTTAGTTTTTATCTTCTCGTAATTCTCACAGCAAATGTTATCCTTTGCAATTGCACAAAATGTATTACCGGTATAACTTCGCATGACCAATTAGTTTTCTTTCTTACAAATTGGAGTGTGTGTGTGTGTGTGTGTGTGTGTGTGTGTGTTTGTGTGTGTGTGTTGAAAGAGAGAGAGATTGAGATGAAGAGGCCATTATACGTATTGAAAATTTAACCCTAAAATTCCAAAATATTTTCAACTAATACTTTCATACGGGTATCACTTAGGAATTGCGTTCACCTGCTAGTAACAGAAACTAGAAATAATAGTGTCTTAAACAAGATAGAAGTTATTACTCTCTTAAGCAAATGTAGTGCAGAGGGAGGCACCCCAGAGCGGGTAGTTCTACAGTCATCGTGGACTCAGGTACCTTCTGTCTTAATCTTTCACCATCCAAATGTGTGGCTTCCATTCTTAAGGTCACCCTATGGTGCAAGATGGCTGCTAGAGATCTAGGTATCTTGTTCACATTGGAGGCCAGAAGCAGTCCAGAAAAGAAGGATCCTATCAAGACATCCCACACAACACTTCCACTCATGGACCAGAACTTAGTCACATGACACATCCAGTTGTAGAGGAGACTGGCACATAATTTTTCAGCTGGGTTCAATGCCCAGGGTTCTGCTACCAAAGAAGAGAATGGAGTGACAACCAGGTTGTGGTCATCCTTTTAATTTGCCTTTAAGAATTGAAGGCAAAGACCAACAATAGGAAGTCAAACAAACAGTACAGTATGATTTTTAAGTCAATTTGCTTGGCTTCATGAAATTAAATGGCTGGATTTGGAGCCATTAAGTTTTCAAAATTTAAAAAATACTATGGATTGTATATTCTATATATAGTTCCCTTTTTCATCAAAGAAGTTCATTCTATGATTAAACAGTGGATGTTGGTTATTGTCACTAGAAAACAAGGTATAGATTATTCTGACAATCAACTACTTACTATTTTCTCTCTCCCTCTCTCCTTCTACTGCTCTGCCTAATTTAGGAGTCTATTTTTTAGCATTTAGCATTCTAAAAATACATCCTGAAGAAATGTTTCTACCAACCAAGTGAAATTTAGAATTAAGGCAATTATCTGAATAATCCAGGCAGAAATTCCACTTTCACCTCAATTACTCAAATAATTCAGATAATACAAAGAGTTTTGCTTGAATTCCTTAGATAATTGTTTCATTTTTCAACTTTTCAATACTAGGGTCATTGCCCAATAATAGATTTACTTTTGATTTTTGTAAGCAATATTAGGACATATTTGTTTTTTCTTTGAAGACTAAAGACTCCTATAATTCCTAGATATATCCTTGAGTCTCAATTTTTATTCACTTCCTAATTTCTTAACTTAAATCACCCTGCCTTTTCCTCAATATCACCCAAGTAATGCCATTAAAAGGTGGATGAGAAGAGCAAATTTCCAAGAGCTCTGCCCTACTTCCCTTCTTATAGACATAGTTATGGCCTCCTCTTTAACAATTCCATGAATTGGGCTTCCTCTGTCCAAAGCCATGGATATTGTATGGTAATATTTTTAACTATTCTAAGTTTGATATCCTAACCCAAAAAGTACTAATAAAAAGGATTACTTTATAGCAAACATTGTTTTTCATTTAAATAATTACCCTTTTTAGAAATATCATTCCAAATTTTCATTTACAACATTTGGAAGAGAAAACAGGTTTCTTAAGAGTGATGGATGATAAGGTTCAATCCACATGCTGTCCTGCATATTCAAAGATAATTCTATAAATGGTGATGGTAGAGATAATATCTAACACAATCCATATTCCTTTTCTTATTTGGTAGAAATTTATTTAAAGTGACTGAATATTGCCAGAAGCCCACATTTCCTAGCATCACATGCAGCTGTGTACAGCCACGTGACTATGTTCTGGCCAGTAAGATACAAGCAGAAACGTTGTGAGGACCTAGTAGGAGATTCCTTAGAAGGAACTGACTTAATTGGGAGAATGGCCATTTTGTCCTCGCTCGCTTCCTTCTGCTGCTGGCTTGGAATGGAGGAATGATGTCTGTAGCAATAGCAACCATGTTGGAACATGAAGTAACCTTGTGATTGGAAGCTAAGTGCTGAGGATAGTGGAACAGGAAAATAGAATTAGGGTCTCTGATGATACCATGAAGCCACAGCCCTACGTTCCGTACATACACAACCCTCACATTCCCACCCCAAATTTGTTTTCAAGAAGAGGAAATAAATTTCTATCCTGATTAAATTGCTACTATTTGGAGTCTTTCTATTATACACAGCTGACATTAATCCTGATGGTCATTATTTTTTATTGAAATTATTGATTTGCTTCAATAGTTTCTTCTACACTGTGTTCACACAAACACTACTTTAAAAACATATTTTTTCTGAAGACATCATTTATATTGATTTTTGTTTGCTCCTTTGCTTTATGCTATAGAAGATTACATGTTTCCTATCGGATAACCATTCTCCCGTTTTTCCTTACTGACAGAACCACAATTTTGTTTAGATAGCAATGTGCCCAGCTAAAATACTGGGAGTGGCCATAGGACAAAATTCCATCTAAGAAGTTGTAAGGAGAAATATGCTAGGAATTCTAGAAGGGTCTTTCCTAATAAGTTCTTTGCCTT